TGAAGTAAGTCACATGGCGGCCGCAGAAGAAGTAGAAGAGAGAGGATATTCAAACTATACGCCGAAGACAAAGATGTCGCTCCGGTTTTAGATCACAGTCTTCTTCAATTGCCTAAAGACCCTCATTGCATTGTTTGCCAACAAGCAAAGCAAGATTCAGCGCCGGCAAAAAGTTTGGAGGCCCTCATCTGACAGACAGAGAAACCGCGACCACTTTCGGTGATTGAATTCATGCAGACCATGTCATCGTTGCCAACGGTAAACTAGAACGCGATAAGTTCGATGTCAAAGGAGAGAGAGTCGCTTGGATCCTGCGAGATGATCGCGCAAAACTCGTCGCAGCTTACCCAGTTTCAAAGCGAAAGCGCCGAAGAAAAAGTCAAGGCATTGCACCACTTCCTTGGGAAAAGGGTTGCAGTTGAATTGCGCTGCGATAACGCGCCTGAGTTGGACAACGCAGCAAGCCAGCTTGGTCTCGTACACACTTCCACGGCGCCTTACCGCAAGACAGCTGTAATAAACCAAAAGATTCGTACCTTGGAAGACTCTAGAAGGTGTTCAATAGTGCAAGCAGGCAGGGTGCAACAGTTGTGGCCTCTTGCCATCCAGTATGTGAGCAATGCTATGTGTTGTCAGCATTGGACAGTCCTTCATGACGAAGGGTTGTTTGGGGAAGATCTTTCGTTCGCATGTCTTGTGCATTTCAGGCCAAACGAAAGGGAATCCAAACTAGGCCCAAAAACATCACCAGGATTGTTCACGGGGTGGAGGTTCGAACCCGGTTTTTGCTTCAAAGGGGTGTGCAAAGTTGCTCCGCTAGAGAATCTCAATTGCAGCAGACGTGTAGTTGGAAAAGGTAGATCCGCTAGAGGAACTGCTAGACATCGAAGGCTCTGTAATGAAAGTTGACACCCCTTCAATTCCAAAAGAGGAAAAGAAGAGAAGCATCACTCTTGAGAGGTTCATCAAGTTTCGGCCTGCTGCTGGCTGCAAAGCTTGCGAAGAAGGGGTGACCGTCCGAACAGTTCTTGCAAGGGTTTGATGCCTTGATCAAGGAGTCCATGCACCCGTTCCCTAGCGACGCGCCAAAGGGTTTTGACCAATGGAGGCTAGAAGAAGATGGCGCACTTGTTAGGTACCACTTCGTGAAAAGGAAAAAGCTGTTCAACCCGCTAAAGCGCGATAGAGACCCACCGGCCAAGCTTAGTGACTTCACCAAGAGGATTACGTTCGCTACGAAGGAAGATGGAACCAAGCTCGATCCAGTTGAACATGATGACTGGACTGACACAGGTGAATGGAAGGACTTTTGGACCGGGAAGATTGTGTTCTATCCCAAAGAGTGCGCGCTGCAGCAGTAAAGGCCGAGCCAAGCTCAGACTCTTGGGAAGAGTCCAAGCTTGCAAAACGAGAAGAGTCCAAGGCCTTGCAAAGGATTTTCTTCCAGGCAGCAGAAGTATATAGTGACTAGAAGAGGTGGAAGAGTCCAGTTTGAGTGGCCAGCGTCGTGCTCAGGTTAGGAATTACCAGAACTCTGGAAGTTTCCCAGCCATCCTTTGTTTATTCTCGTGAAATGTAGTGCTTTGGTTCAGAGCTCCAAACCATGGCAGATCGTAAACTTGTCTCCATCCCTAGCCATTGATCCAAAGCATTCACGTGTCCACGTAGCTGGAAAATACACTGAGCCTTCTGGCCTTCACCCAGCAGCCTTTTGTGAGTGTGTTGTAGCTCAGCTGTTCCCAGACAGAGTGTGCAACAACGCGCCAGCGATGTGAGCCAATTCAAGTTCAGCAATACCACCAAACGATTAAACGAGAGAGAGAGAGAGAGGAGAGCTTTCTTGAAAACGAAGTTCCACACTTCATCCATGAGGACAGGAAGCAATGGGCTTCCATTCCAACTGCGCATCCACTGAGATTCAAAAGGAAGCCAATGGTTTGATCGCTGCAGGAACTTGGAACTACGAAGAAGTCGTTCCAAGAAGGGAGCTGGAAAGAATGGCTCTTCAGAAGGGGGAGAAGAATCAATATCGGGCTGTTGTCATGGAAGCACGCAGAAGATCCTCTGCTAAAAAAAGAAAAGCAAGGACTGTATTCCGCGGTGATTCCGTAAAGGATGAATTAGGACAACGCGCAATATTCCAAGACATCAAGGTAACACCGACTGCGAGATATATCTGGAGTAAACGCACATGTCCTGTACGGATGTCTCGAAGGGAACACAACAACACAAAGTGACGTTGTCAAAGCTTATGCCCAGTCGGATTTAGGTTCCAAATTTCCTACTTACGTGCAACTGCTTGCCGTGCGTAAGGCTTTACAAAAGTCTCTATGGACACCCAGAGTCAGGGGGGCGCTGGCGCAAGAAGTTTGCCGGCGTTATCCAAGAACGACTAGGACGCGAGTCAGCATCCTTTCCTTCAAATTTTTGGATAGAAAGTAGCAGGCTACTTGTCGCATTGTACGTTGATGACTTCCTGCTGAGCGGACCCACAAAAGAGCGCCAAAAGTTTTGGCAAGTTTTGCAGTCAAAGCTAGATATCGAAGAACCCTCTCCAATCGACAAAGTCTTAGGCAGGAAGCGCGTCGTCAAAAGGGAGGGAAACAGTCTTGTGTATCTTCGCGCCTCGAATTTTGTCCTTGCAAATTAAAGTCAGTTGCCACGCTGCTTTTGGATGATTCGACTTTGCCAATAGACGGCTGGGATGTTAAGGGTTCAGTTCAACCTGTAGCCGCAAAGATCTTCATGAAATGTCTATGGATAGGACAGCTGCGCAGAGCAGATCTGAACGACGACAGGAGACTCCACCGTTTGCTTTGCTACATTGACTCCACGAAGCAATATAGAATGCGAAACCAAGTAACCGGTTCGGACAAAGGTATCGACATCTTCTGCTTCACTGATAGCGATCACGCAGGTAAAGTCGAACGTGGGTATTCAACAATTAACAGGGAGATTTGTCGCTGCAATGGGCAAAGGAACACTCTTCCCAAGTACATGGCGCGCAAAGAAATCAGGAGCTGCAAGTAGGAGTACAACAGAGGCCGAGACAATCAGTTTATCTCATTTATTGTTTTCCGAGGCTTTGCCACTCCAAGAGCTGATGACATTGCCGTGTCAGCAAGATATCACCGCAACCATTCAAGTTATCCGGAATGGCTGTAGCTCTCGCTTGAGGCACATTTCCAAAACGCGCAAAATAGATCTAACCGGTCTTTTTGACGCGTTCAGGTCAGGAAATGTGATTCTTGAGTACTGCTCTACAGAACAGCAGGCAGCAGACTTGTTCACCAAGTGTTTGGACGCCGTGAAGTTTCGCAGAGCTTTAGATACGGTAGGCGAAGGAGAGCCTCTACTCTAGTTCGTTTGCAGCGTGCAATGACAATGCCGGAGTGCTGCGCTTGTAGATGGCGTTGTGTAACTCCAAGGCAGCCAAGTGAAATTGAAACCAACTGTTGCCTTCGCAGTGAGCGCGCGATGATCAGTTCATCGTATGTAGGCCATATTGTTTTTCTGTTTGCAGGTCTGTTGCATGCTGAGTTCATTTTGCTTAGAGGGCATTATTTGTAACTCATCGGGGAATAAAGTCCAACCTGGCTGTCCAAGACAGCAGGCGCCCACTCGAGACTAAGCCAAACTCTAGAAAAGCAGAAAAGCAAATTGTACTTTTGTCAAAGCTTGAGCTTGGGAGTAAGTGCGCAACTTTTTCGCTTATATACAGGACGTTACTCCACTGAGGGGGGGAAGAAAAACCAGGAGTCGCAGCACATGTACAGCATACACCAGGTTTCCTTCGAACGGTTGCGTATCGTCATTCAGCTTTGGACCATGGATCAATTTTGGCTCAATGAGAAAAGGAGCGCCGGTCCGAACTCAGCTGGTTGAGTGTTTTGTTTGGAAGTTGTAGTGTGTCTACTTTTCCACAGGATAGCTCGTTGCTACACTTCCTTTGGACATATGAGTTGAAGACTCTGTGTGAATTAGACGCTCTCTGTGAACAGAGCACTCAAAGGGCAATGGCAATTCCCAAAGTTAATTTTCGCAACTACTTCATCAATACTAATACTATGAGCGCCTCCCTAATTGGTACAGTACGCAGCACGCAGTTTGGGTACCTTCCTTCTATATTTAACGTTTCACCAAGCACGACCCGGTGACAACCCCCGGTTTACAATATTCTGTAAGTTAATTAATTTCCCCTTTGCGCGCAGCGTATTGAATCACACAGTAGGTGCAGGGCCGACGGCCACTACAGGCTTCGCCAAAAGTGGATTTGACAGTGAAAAAAGAGATTCAACAAACATCGTCATGATAACTGATGTTGTTTAGACCCCTGGGGCAAGTCATTTTGTGTAAATGTTTGTTTCCCCAATCTCCCTCAAATAAAGGCACCTTTATCTTAACAAAATGGCGTTCCATACCCGGACAAGGGTGGCCAAAAGTGTGGCGCTTGAAGGCACTCATCAGGATACTGGCGGAACATGCGTTCGCAAGACAAAAACTCTGAAACAACAGCTCGACTTGTAAGACGCCCATGGCCTCTGCCGCTTTTGCCAGTGCAATTGTTACGTGTCTCTTTCTTCGGGTCCGAAGATACTGGTCTACAGGTCGCAGTGTTGTGGGCCATATCCGTTTTTGGGTTCTCTTGCCCGTGCTGTGTTTTCTTTCGGATTTGCTGAGGCTGTGTGTGCAAGATGATTTGGTTGTAACGGGTGATTTCGCTGCGGAAATCGATTTGATAACACGGTGACTCAGCTTGAAACCGAGATCTTGAACATGATGTCCACATCCTGGATTGCGAGACGTCCAAAAACTGTTTCAGCATGGACGCTTTTCGTTTCGGAATCAGGCGCTTGCCAACCTGTCATTACGAGCGGCAGAAAGCATCCAGCATTGGTCTTCGACTCAAACCTATGAGCTTGGAGGAGCCAGACAGGGAAATGGCGGTGTCAATTGCATATGAGATGGAAAACAAATAGAAGGATCGGATAACCCCACATGTTAAGCTTGACAGAACTAGCAACGAGAAGCAGAGACTGAGAAGAAAAGAGGACGGAAAGATACTGGACAATAAAAGTGAATGAGATGAGTGACGTGTGAGGTGTGTGATGAGTGGTAGTAATGAGAAGTAGAGACTGATCAGAAAAGATGACAGCAAGATACGACGCGATAAAGGTGAACGAACGAGACAGTGAGGTGAAAGAAGAAGTAGTGCATGATTGAGAGAATGAGTGAGGGAACGAGAGAGACAGAGTGTGCGGGTGTAGCTTGTGTTGCGTGTCCTTTTAATATGAGGTTTTGCAGAAGACGTCCAGCGCACCAGTTCTTTTTGCACTGCAGAGGTAGCGCAAGTGTCAAGTCCACTCCACGTAGTGCAGAGTGCCTGGCGCAGGCGATGGAAGATTGAAAGAGAAAAACCAGCCAGCGCCAGCGCCCGGCACCAGCGCCCAATCCACGCGCGCAACGAGCGCCAGCAACCCGACGCCGCCCTGTGCGCGCAGCCAGCGCCGGCGCGCCAGCTCACAGCGCCGCGCGCGCGCAGTGAGCGGCCTGCGCCCTGTTTCCACCACGCGCGCAGCCAGCTGACAGCGCCCAGCGCGAGCGCCCAGCGCCCGCGCCCTGTTTGCACCACGCGCGCAGCCAGCTCACAGTCCACCACGCGCGCCCAGCGCCCAGCAAACGGCGCCCAGCACTGGCACCCTTTCTCCACCACGCGCGCAGCAGGGAATAACAAGGTATGATCTTGCGCGAAAAAGTTCACGCGCGCAAAAGTATGCGCGCAAACAGCAAAGCCCGTAAGTGTCATTGGCCCAAGGCCAAGCAGTATCCAGCGCCACTGTTGATTTTGTAGCATGCTTGAAGCAACGATCTGTAGAACCATAAGGCCAATATGATCTTGCGCGTACAAGTTTATGCGCGTAAAAGTATGCGCGCAAACGGCAACGCCCAATGGTCGGTTGAGAGCCTGACGTTGCGCCTACAACATTATACGTACACAAGTATGCGCGCAAACAGTACAGCCCTTGACACACCTGTCGGCCAAAACAGAGCCTGAAGAGGGTAAATACCACACAGCGCTAATAGACAAAGAACGCTCAAGCGACAACACCGTATGATGTTGCGCGCATACAGCCAGCTCACAGCACCAGCACCGGCGCCGGCGCCCAGCACCCACCCAGCACCGGCGCCATGTCTCCACCACGTGCGCAGCCAGCTCACAGCACGCGCCCGGCGCGCAGCACCGGCGCCCTGTCGCCACCACGTGCGCAGCAAGCTCGCAGCACCGGCGCCCAGCGCCCTGTCTGCGCCACGCGCGCAGCCAGCTCACACCCGGCGCCAGCGCCAGCAACCTGTCTCGAAAGCGCGCGCGGGCAACTCATTGTTATTTGAAGTAAGAACCCCATAGCTTCGCTATCTGGGAAAAAACTATTAAACTAAATCCGAGCCCCGGGCCATGGTGCCGCGCGCCAGCGACTTGAAGCGCGCCAGCGACTTGAATCCTGGCGCGAAGAGCGCGGTCGCGCTGTTGCGCGGGCATGGCTCTTCTAAGTGTTCAAAGGGACCCTTTCGGCGCTGTCCAATACAACGTCGTATCCGCAATTTTACGGTGTCTCTGTGTCTGTTCTATTTGTATATACACATGCGTGTCTCTGTGTCTCTTCTGCGTGTCCGTGTGTCTATTCTGTGTATCTAAATCTACACGGCAGGCAGCCGCAGGCCAGCGGCGGACTGCTGGTCCGGGAGGCTCTGTGTATTGCGCCTGCCACGAACTCTGCACTCCAGGTTCACCAAGCGCTGTGCCTGCCACGAAATCTACACGACCGGCAGCCGCGGGCCAGCGGCGACGCGCGGCCGTATAGCTGATCCAGGAGGCTCAAGTGCTTGCGCCTGCCACGAAATCTGCGCTCAGCCTTGAGTGGTGTAAGATGAGTGGTGCAAGATGGGTGGTGTAAGATAGGTGGTGTGAGTTGTAAGCTGAGTGGTGTAAGATGAGTGGTGTAAGATGGGTGGTGTGAGATAGGTGGTGTAAGATAGGTGGTGTGAGTTGAGTGGTGTCAGATGAGTGGTGTAAGATGAGTGGTGTGAGATAGGTGGCATAAGATAGGTGGTGAGTGGTGTAAGATGAGCGATGTAAGATGGGTGGTGTGAGATAGGTGGTGTAAGATAGGTGGTGTGAGTTGAGTGGTGTAAGATGAGTGGTGTAAGATGAGTGGTGGGAGATAGGTGGTGTAAGATATAGGTGGTGTGAGTTGAGTGGTGTAAG